GTAATATTCTAAGTAAATGATTCGTTATTCTTCTCCTGCACGAATAAGAAATTCCTAAAAAACGAAAATGACCTCTTTAATAACAACAATAAAGTATTCTTACTAGTTTCTGTTGCTTTATAAATATTTTTACTGGTTTTTTAATATTTTTATTGCTTTTTTACTGTTTTTTTTTACAATTTATTACCATTTTCATTGTTTTATTTTTTATTTTTTATCTTTTTTTACTGTTTTTTACTATATTTTACTGTATTTTACTGTATTTTACTGTATTTTACTGTATTTTACTGTATTTTACTGTATTTTACTATATTTTACTGTATTTTACTGTATTATACTGTATTTTTTTTACTGTTTTTTTACTGTTTTTTTTTACTGTTTTTTACTGTTTTTTTACTGTTTTTTACTTTTTTTTTACTGTTTTTTACTGTTTTTTACTTTTTTTTTACTGTTTTTCTTCACTTTATTTTACTTTTTTTTACTGTTTTTTACTGTTTTTTTTTTATGTTGTTTACTGTTTTTTACTGTTTTTTACTGTTTTTTTTACTGTTTTTTTTTACTGTTTTTTTTTACTGTTTTTTACTGTTTTTTTTTACTGTTTTTTACTGTTTTTTTTTACTGATTTTTTTTACTGTTTTTTACTGTTTTTTACTGTTTTTTACTGTTTTTTTACTGTTTTTTACTGTTTTTACTGTTTTTACTGTTTTTACTGTTTTTACTGTTTTTTACTGTTTTTTACTGTTTTTTACTGTTTTTTACTGGTTTTTTACTGTTTTTTACTGTTTTTTACTGTTTTTTACTGTTTTTTTTACTGTTTTTTTTACTGTTTTTTTTACTGTTTTTTTAATGTTTTTTACTGTTTTTTACTGTTTTTTTACTGTTTTTTACTGTTTTTTACTGTTTTTTTTACTGTTTTTTTACTGTTTTTTACTGTTTTTTTTACTGTTTTTTTACTGTTTTTTAATGTTTTTTTACTGTTTTTTTACTGTTTTTTACTGTTTTTTACTGTTTTTTTTTTACTGTTTTTTAATGTTTTTTTACTGTTTTTTACTGTTTTTTACTGTTTTTTACTGTTTTTTTTTTACTGTTTTTTACTGTTTTTTACTGTTTTTTACTGTTTTTTTACTGTTTTTTACTGTTTTTTACTGTTTTTTACTGTTTTTTACTGTTTTTTTACTGTTTTTTACTGTTTTTTACTGTTTTTTACTGTTTTTTACTGTTTTTTACTGTTTTTTACTGTTTTTTACTGTTTTTTACTGTTTTTTACTGTTTTTTACTGTTTTTTACTGTTTTTTACTGTTTTTTACTGTTTTTTACTGTTTTTTACTGTTTTTTACTGTTTTTTACTGTTTTTTACTGTTTTTTACTGTTTTTTACTGTTTTTTACTGTTTTTTACTGTTTTTTTTACTGTTTTTTACTGTTTTTTACTGTTTTTTTACTGTTTTTTACGGTTTTTTACTGTTTTTTACGGTTTTTTACTGTTTTTTACTGTTTTTTACTGTTTTTTACTGTTTTCTACAGTTTTATACTGTTTTCTGTTCTCACAAGTTGTGAGTAATAATTTTCTCATACGCGTGCAAAGGGAGACAAGTCAGAAAAATTTCATTTTGAGTTAATTACGGTAAACAAGTTTTTGCATTAATACGGTAAACAAGTTGCATAAAAAGCTTTTCGTGTGCTAAAGGGAGTAAGGCAATATGTTTTCCATTGCACTAGTTTTTGTGTAGTGTGAATCGAGACAACTCGTTTTTATTGTACGTAGGCAAGCTATCTTGAGTTATCTCAACTAACACTAAAAACTTTATCTACTTTTCTTTTTGTTTAATTTGAACTTATCTCACCTTGCACTATTATTATTTCGACTTAACTTTGTTTACACTAAACTGAATGATAATATTTCATATAAATGCACCTCAACATCTACGAAAGTACAGTTCACAATTGAAGAGTTTTAGCCAGCTTACAGTGCAGAAGAATGTAGTATTCCCACTAATGGAGTAAATCAAGATACTACATATAACAAAGGTCAGTTAGATATTTTCTTAAAATTCAACAAATTTATATCTAGTATATTATATTTTAGTCCTTAATCACTTTTCTGACCACGAAACACTTACAGATAAACCGGATGGTCCTGATTCTTTTTTCCAGCTGGGCGCCAAATCACTCCACGTTTCAGCGGAAGAAATTTATTCCAGCAGCGAAGATAATACATCTTATATTATCAAAAGTTGCATAAAATGATATTACAGCCGCCATTTGAGGGCGTAAAATAGCACTTTTCTGTCCTACTGCTTAAAAATATAGAAACGTTTTATCTTCTGACAATTTTTGATAATCTCTTCACACATGTGGCAAGTATCTTCCCCGCCCTTGACGGCTTGTACATTGTACGAACTCTGCTTTGCGTCGTTTGTACAACTGCCGTCGCAGTCTGAATAGTATAATTATTATTGTATTTCAGGTATTCATTAGGATAGCCCTGTTTCGGAAAGCGAGTGTTAAGATAATCGTGACAAGGATTTCGTGGTATCTTGTTCAAACTCTTCGGACTCTGAAAATGTATCTTACACAAAAACTGACAAGAAACAAATAAACAGTAAAAGAAGAGACAAGAGAAGCAAGTAAAAACGAAAAATTGATATAAACGAAAGAAAAAAGGAAAATTGGTGAGAAGCCATAATTGTAAAGACAGAAAAGTGCAGAAAGAAGTTTACAAAAAAATTTGATGGGGAAGTACGAGAAAAAATATTTAAAGACTATTGGAGGTTAGAAAGTATCAACAAGAGAGTGGCGTTTACTTCAGGTATATTATTAGGAGAAGAAAAGAAAACACAGATTGGTACTACAAAAAAATCAAGACAGTTTAAGCTAAACGGAAATTTAATTGAAATTTGTAAAAAAGAATTCGATTTGTCAAATAGAGATTGTTATAAAGAAGGCTCTTATCTCAGGCAGAACATTGCATGATGAGAGGGATCATCATCCTCCAAAGATTAAAATCGAAACTGACAGAATTGAACTGGTTTGGAAACACATCATATCAATCTCGGCATATGAGAGCCATTACTGTCGCCAACAGGAGATCGAAAATGTTTAACATCTTTTTATACCTTCACTAGTCTATATGAGAAATACAAAATTTGGATTCCGCTTCAAAGCCCTGTCAAAAAATTTTACGAATCTATTTTCCATACAATTAAAATATCAATAAAAAAATACATTAAAGATACCTGCCAAAAATGTGACAAAATGCAGTGTATGATAAGAAATGCGAAAGGTCATCTAGAAAAAGAAATAGTGACAAATGAATTAAACAAACACCAACAGGAAGCTAAACATACATTTTCCGCGAAAAAACTGAATAAAGAAAAAGGAAAATTAGACCAGTCCAGAGCCGAATTCACGGTTGACCTGCAACAATGCATACCAACTCCAACTCTGACTACATCAGTTTCGTTTTACTATTGACGTACAACTTAACAATGTATGATTGCGTCAATAACAAAACTATTTGTTGTATGTGGTATGAAGTACAATCTGGTACAGATGCAAGTCAGCTTGGTTCTTGCTTGTGTAAAGAACTTCTGATTTTACCACTGAATATTAAATATATTCTAAAACGTGTGGTGGTCAGAACAAAAATGGCCGCAAAGTTGCGATGTTTATGACTTTAAAGAAAAATTCAAATTTTAAGATAGTGGATCACAAATTATTGATGCCTGGACAAACGAGAATGAAATGGGACACGATTCACTCTATTATTGATAAAAAGGGACCATTAAAAAGGTCTTATTAAACTTTTCAGAGACTGGTTGCAGTTAGTAAGGTTATGTGACAAAAAAACATACGTTCGAAGTACAGGCAATGAAAAAGGATGATATTATTGATTTCGCCTTGCTACTGATTCTACAAGCAAAATCATGTCAACAAGTTTGTATGAAAAAATATTAGATGGATTCGGTACATTTTTCTACAAAAATAGCCAGAACGAAAACGAACCTTTCATTTTGCAGAAGAGGCCAAACTTCTCTTCCCGCAGATCTTCCGAAATGCAAATATCCAAGCTGTATATCAGAGAAGAAAATAAATTTGATTAAAGTACTACTCTACGTCGATGAAATATTTCACAATTTATATAAAAATCTACCTACTGAGAAAAATATCAAGGATACTTAACCAGATTTGGAAGAAGCTTCTTCAGATGATGATTACTGTAAAAGGAAATAAGTACTGTTTTTTTGTGCATTCTGAGTTATGTTTGTTTTTGTTTCTTAAACCAACTTGTTTTTCTTCTTAATAAGTATTAGTCTAGGATCCCAGGCCCATTTTCACCCATGATTACTAACAAACAGATTTTTTGTAAGTAGCTTCATTTTGACGAGACTCCTAACTTTTTCCTTACTACAGTTTTGGTAAACGGTAGCTAACAATGGTAGCGGGGTTGAAATATGTTGATTTGACGAATTTTAAAAATTTAATACTAACAGAATTTTTCTTTGTTAATTCCCAAGATAATTATCTAAATAAACCGAGGAAATATTTGTCCTACAAAATTTAAGATTTTATCAAAGAGTCCCCCCTCTCCAACATGTATAATTACCAAAGTCATGAAAAATAATTACTAACCAGCTGACTTTTTTTTCTATTAGTTAGTTAATATTAATATAATTGAACACCCATATTGTCATACAAATTACATGGTACGACTTCCTGGTCCTACGATCAAAAGCTGCCAATGCCACAGGCCACAGGACAATTTTTTTTATTAGTAACTATAGGACCAAAGTATTATGTGATAGATTAGTATGTTCTTCGTCCAAATAAAACAATGCCCTACAAAAAAACAGGTATGTATTGCTAGTCCTACAATAATTATCATTTTCGTTTCCCTATTTGTAACACAGCATAAAGTGACAACATATTTCTTGAAATTAAAATAACTTTATTTTCCAATGTACATAAAAAATCTGGGTTTTTTATATAAACAAAAAAAACATTAATCTTCATCAGATTCATCGGAAAAATCTTCATCATCTTCATCAACAGCATCAGTCTCATCTTCATCTCCCTCTTCTTCACTTTGATCGTTAGTGACGTCTGACTCTGTAATAACATAAAACAATTAATAAATCGCCGAATAATTAATAAATAAATAACAATAATATTAATAGGGTACTTTGTAAGTCAGAAGATAATTCTTCGAAAGATGGGCTTTGGGGACCATCAAACCAATCATATGGATACTTATTATCAATTATTGTCCATTCATAATTTTCTGGCAATTTTTTAGTGGGACGCCGCATATGTGCATTACACCATACATTAAAGATGAATACTGTCCTTTTAATTTGTTGCAGCAATTCTTGTTTTGTTGGTGATAAACTGGAAGGATCATATCCTACGATACTTTTTTAATACTTCTTTATTTTCATTTTTTGTTTTTAACGAGTACACTCTACATACATACTCCACCTTTTGAATTCTACTATCACCTTTCATAATTTTGGCATTATATCCTACCCACATTAGCGTATTTGCAATTCGTAATTTATGGGAAAGTATCCATTTAAAATATCTATGTTTAAAATTATTTAAAAATTTTGCAGGTCTTCGGGTGACGCTTTACTACAATGCCAAAATTCTGAATGACGTTGTTTCGTGTGCAATAAATTTGCTAGTGACTTGTCCTAAAACGAACGTTTTCTACGACCGGACAAATCACGAACATTAACTGATAAATTCTGTTGAGGTACTGTACTAGCATTATTTCTTTGGATGATGTTCAATTCTTCTTCGGTAGGGATGTTCTGATATAAGATACCCCACTGTATCATGCAAGGTTTTTTTACCAGAGCTTGTCTCCACAAATCTGTCGTAATTATCCCACGCTACTCCAGATGATAATAGAGAAGTTCGTAGAATACCGGAAGGACATAACTGATTATTAGAAGCACAAGAGTATGCAGCAGACGTCTCCAATTCCAGTATACTTGGATAGGTGATGCAGTAACCTTGCCTGCTTAATATCTCCACGACTTGTTTGCTTCCGGTTAGACTTTTCATGGTTATTCTCAATAAAATATGCTTTCGTGGTTTAATATAACCTCTTGTAATGATGTAGATAGAGTCCTGCGAATAAAATGATGACAATCTCTGAACCCGATTACAGCTTTTTTTGCATATACCACTCAAGGCAGTTGTCCAAAATATATTTAACCAATTAGGAACATCGCACTCTTCTTTATTTAATACTTCACTATCGATGTAATGTGTTAAAGGTTTTTTTATTTTCAATATGTTTCGGCGATATTTTAAGGCTTGTGCTTCTTGTTTAAATAATATGTCTTGGATTGCTTCGTCATAGATTGTTTCAATATATATTTCAGAAGATAAAATGTATAGTTTATTATAAATTTTGACGAATTAATTTTTTTTTTTTCATTCGATTTTGTATAAATTCCTTTAGAGCTTAATTACTGAATGTGCTAGCTTCTAAATTTTCGTTTTCATATAATTCCATTACAAACTCAGCATAACAATCTTTCAAGTGAGAAAATGATAACACTCGTCGATTTCCAATAATTTCTTGTTGAATGTAATTTACCAATCGTTCTCTGGCAATTTTATGGCTATCTCGTTTCATGGGCCAATCAGCATTTTTTAAAACTTTTCTACTATTTTATGCAAGTAAAAGAGAAATATAAATCCATTTTCCTCGAATTCTTCTGATTTCTTTCTTTCTTATTTTATTTATTTTTACAATATCTGTTTCTACACTTTCTTCTATTTTCTTAATTATTTCTTCTTCGCCTTATTTTAATTCGTGATTTTCTTCTTTTATTTTTTATTTCTTTAATGTCATTATCATTAAGGTCTTTTCTTAATTCCTTCACTTTCCTTTCTCTTTGTCCTTTTTTTGTCTTATTTATTATTCTTTTCAATTTCATTCTTTTTGTTCATTATCTGTTTTCTATCTATCTTTGTTTCTTTCTTCTTTCTCTTATTGTTTTTTATCTTTATTTCTTCCGTATCTTTTTGTCTATCTATCTTCATTTCTTTCTTATCTTGTTTTTTATCTTTCTTAATTTCTTTTTTTCTTGGTTTTTCTCTCTCCTCATTTCTTCCTTTCCTTGTTGTCTTTTTGTTTTTTTTTTATTTTTAGCAGCAGCATATTTATTGCATAAATTCTATTTTTTTTTTATTATTATTATTCTTTTTATTTACTGTATTATTTACATTTTGCTGATTCATATTCTTTTTTCTTATGTCTTCCATTTCTATAGATTGTTTCTCTTCCAACCCAGCCTTCCTTAAATCTATTTAATTTTTAGATTAGCAAACTATAACCTATTGCTTAATCAGCAAGTAGTTACTTTCAAATTTACTATAAGGTGAAAAAACTGGCCCTTATTCAAAAATATAGTTCCCCTTACTGCAAATAAGAACTATATATATTTTTTCTAATACAAATAAAGTAACAGTAATCCAACCCGTCTATAAAACTATTACTCTACCTCTCTGAGCTCAGATCAAGAAACATTACTTTAGGGATTTCCCGTAAATCCGTTTCTGAATCCAGTTTATTGGACAAAAATGAACGGGAGCTTATAAAGCCAACATGAATATTAATAGCATTTCCGGATAGCGTTTTTAGAAAATCTTGTCTTTTTAAAATGGCATTTTCCCTAAAAGAATAAATAGTAGAATTGTTTGTGTTTGTTGCGGAAAAATAGGATTTTTTTTGACAAACAAACAATGGTTATTTCAGGTACAAATGAAATATCATTTGTATCTGATTCATAGTGAATTGAAATATAATTGTTTGCAGAATAATTCATAATTCTGTAAAATGTAAGCGCATTATGCTAAATTAATTTTACAGAAGAGTTCATTAAAATTAAATAGAACTTTAAAAATAATTAGAATTATTAAATAATTTTCAAATATTCCGTTGTAATGTTATTTATTGTTTTTACTATTTAATTATAATAAAGCTCCTGCACAAAAGTCAAAAATGGTGATCAGTTGACAAAATGTGAAAAATTCTGATTTTTATGAAAATTGTTGAACTAAAAGTTGTTTGCGATATCGATCTCTATAATTTTTTTTTATACACGATTTTTCTAAAATGGACCGTAATGGAAAAATTGTAGGAAAAGTGCTAAATTTAAATTTTTCAGTTTTTTCGTTTTCAATGAATATCTATAGAAAAATGTTTCGAGGTAGATGTATGTGGAAAATGTATACACCGTGTCCCACGTAAGGCGGGCATTAAAACTTTATGGAGAATAAATTAATTTGTATTTTCGCCATTTTCTGAGTATACATAATCGAATATGCTCTTTTGAATTAAAATAAAATGAACTCTGTGCAACTTCCGGTTATACCGGAAGTGACCACTAACTTCGTTATTTTAAAGAGAATACCCCATATTTTTTTTTAATTTTAGATTCAGCATGAAATTCTGTAAACAACAATACCCCATTTGCCTATTCTAGTTATAGCGGATTTGGCGTTATTCAATTTTTTTCTACATTTTTAGTCGCCGGTAGACATTTTCTTAAAGTCGTCTATCTCAGGTACTATATCTATCAGATACTTAAAATTTTAACCAAAGGTAGTAGATGGGATGTACTTCTTGAGAATATTTAGTTATTTATTATTTGTTGTACGGGGTGTTTGCAAATTATTTTTAAAAATTAAATTTTTTAAACATAAAAAACTTTTTTATTTTAAATTGAACACCCTATATATTTTTTAAATTTTAAATTTAGCATGAAATTCTGTAAACAATGATACCCCATTCGCCTATTCTAATTATAGTGTATTTGGCGTTATTCAGTTTTTTATAAACTTTTATATGTCGGCAGACATTTGCTTTTTTAAATTTACTTGTACATCGTTTGTTCGACTGTGTGTTTGGAAATTATTTTAAAAAATAAATATTTTAAACAAGAAATTTTTTTTTATTTTAAATGGAAAATCCTGTATATTTTTATTTCATTTTGTTCAGAAAATTATTCTTCATTGATCTTCATTTGCACTATTAATTCCCTATAATTATCTCTCGCCAATTTTAAGAAAATTTAAATTTAAATTTTACGCATGCACCTACATAATATAGTATAGTTTTACATTTTAATTTTTTATCTTAGTATGCCGTGGAAATATGCTAAACAACAATCTGTCAACAAACAGAATTGTCATATTTCTATGTATTTAAGTTGTGTATTTTTTGCGTTCAAAATATGGAAAATATGGAAAATATTGAAGAATATACCAACTAAGATATCCTTAATTTATTTTACATTCATGGAGAATGTAATCGAATGAAAAGTAGAACCTGCCGCATGTTTAATGAACGATACTCTCATTTACCACCAATAAACAGACAGAAATTTGATAGAATCGAAGCTAACTTTTTGAATAATTTTAAACAAAACCCGGGAAGAAACCGTCAACATTATGTCCGAGATGAAGAAGTTAATCTAATTAACGTATTAGGGTATTTTACTGCGTATCCTCACGCCTCCATTAGAATGGCTCAAGATAATTTAAATATTAGTCGAGGGTCAATACAACGAATTTTAGCACTAAATAAATGGCATCCCTATGCACAAAGAAAAGTTCATGAGTTGCGAGATGGTGATCAAATAAGACGAACTGAAATATGCGAATGGTTATTGGTACGAATTCAAGAAGATCCCGAGATTTTAAACAAAATTTTGTGGTCAGACGAGTCGAAATTTACACGTAAAGCAAGCAATGTCATTTCTGGGCAAACGAAAATCCACATTTTTATCGTGAAGCACAGTACGAATTTAGTTTTAATGTGTTTGCAGTGATCGGTTTTGGAAGAGCTTTTTATTACATTTATAATGAAAGACTGACCTCAGAAAGATACATTAGAATTCTTAGAGAAGTAGTTGCCGACATTTTAAACCAGCTACCAAATAATAATTTTTGGTACCAGTTGGATGGTGCCCCAGCACATTCAACATACTATGTAAATCAAGAAATTACAGCACTCTTTGAAGACCGATTGATAGGTCCAAATGGTCCTTGGCTTTGGCCTGCAAGATCACCTGATCTAACTCCTGTTGATTTTTTTTATGGGGTCATATTAAAAATTTAGTGTACTCTACCCAAATTAATACTAAAGAAGAATTAGAGCAAAGAGTTCGGAATGCCTTTAACGAGTTAGGTGGTGAAATGATTCGTAAAGCAACAACTAATCATGTTGAAAAAAGATTGTTAAAATGTTTAGAAGCTAACGGGGGACATTTTGAACATTTGATAAAATGATTTTTTTAAACCATGTGCTTTTAATAAAAATTGTTTTTAGTTAGTATGTACCTTATCATTAAAAAAATTTAAACTTTTTAAACGACATATTTTGTTGCAGAAAACTGTAAATGTTTTTAAAAGTACATCCCATCTACTACTTCTGACTAAAATTTCAAGTATCCAACAGAAATAGTACCTGAGACAGTCGACTTTAAGAAAATGCCTACCGGCGCGACGACTAAAAATTAAAAAAAATGAATAACGCCAAATCCGCTATAATTAGAATAGGCAAATATGGTATCATTGTTTACAGAATTTCATGCTGAATCCTAAATTTAAAAAATATATAGGGTGTTCCCTTTAAAATAAAAAAGTTTTTTATGTTTAAAAAATTTCATTTTTAAAAATAATTTGCAAACACCCCGTACAACAAATAATAAATAACTAAATATTCTCAAGAAGTACATCCCATCTACTACCTCTGGTTAAAATTTTAAGTATCTGATAGATATAGTACCTGAGATAGACGACTTTAAGAAAATGTCTACCGGCGACTAAAAATGTAGAAAAAAATTGAATAACGCCAAATCCGCTATAACTAGAATAGGCAAATGGGGTATCGTTGTTTACAGAATTTCATGCTGAATCTAAAATTAAAAAAAAATATGGGGTATTCCCTTTAAAATAACGAAGTTAGTGGTCACTTCCGGTATAACCGGAAGTTACACAGAGTTCATTTTATCTTAATTCAAAAGAGCATATTCGATTATGTATACTCAGAAAATGGCGATAATACAAAATAATTTATTCTCCATAAAGTTGTAATGCCCGCCTTACGTGGGACACGGTGTATATTTAGTTTATCCTCTAAACATTTATAGATGTGCTGCAATAGGTTGTACAAAATAACCGGAAGAAGCCTATAATAACTAGATAGAAAAGTCATGTGTTGGACACATCAGATTTTTATATTTAATGTGTCTAGTTCTAGTTTTACTGTTCAAATTCGTTTTTTTTATAAATTCCATGTTTACGTTTTGATGTATTTAATGTATGTATGTATGTATGTATGTATGTATGTATGTATTTATGTATGTATGTATGTATGTATGTATGTATGTATGTATGTATGTATGTATGTCATTTTATTTTATTTTATTTTTCATATGTATTCTACCTGTAATAGACTTGTACCGTTGGTAGGATAAAAAATAAATAAATAAATAACGAAACTTAGTAGCACATTTCTTTTTGCTTTTATTTTGTCTATCGGACTTACATCGTCATTTCGATTGTAATAACGAAACCCAGTGGCATATTTTTTTATTGTCTGCAAACTCGTCAACTCCCATATAAAGTTTGTGAAAGTAATACCTGACGTTTGTCTTAGACACTCAACTCATGTACCTACTTTAACCGTACTATCACGTTTGAACATTCCCAAGTGAGAAAGACGCTAAGATGATGACTGACCCGATATCGCGTTGTCTTCACGATAACGTTCGCTCCGAGGACGGGGGGGCCTTACATTGACGTAATGCCCCTAGGTAGCAATTCTTTGTGACCTGAATATTTCTTTCTCGTCTCCGGCGGGTATATACGTCTCTACGCAACTTTGACAAATACGTTGTGATGACAAAAGCCGGCGCTCCGGGAATACGGTCTTTATGGAGGTGGTGCACTTTCATTACATACTTTTTATTGCGATGTTTTTTGGACATGGAAAAATTTCATGAATTGTCGATAGCAAATATTATTATTAAACAGTTCTTTTTTTACTTATTTACACTAATACAGTAATTTAATTTATAATACACCAATTTATATTAATAATTTTATTCTACATAAACGAATATCTAACGTAAAAACTGTCCAAAATGGCAAATCAGAAGTATTTATATACCCAAATTTTAGAGATATTTAAATTTATTAATTTATATTTATATTGCCGTAAGACAACAGAGGAGAAGGTGGTAATATGGAACCGTGCTGGTAATATAGAACCCTTGGTTAATTCTGAACCGGTAGTGACATCTACTTTTAAAATAGCTGAATTTCAATTGTCAGTCATAGATGAAGAGTGTAGGAAACTGTAGCACATACCGGCAAACAGAAATCCAACAGTGGCAGTTTAAATGTAGACAAGTAGACCAAAAACTTTTTGATGCGATTTAGTTTTAAGGTAACAGTGATTTACGTGCGATTTTTATGTTGTTTGGTTGTGGTGTCATACTACCACAAGGTTTTTTTTGTGACAACATAATAAGTAAGTTTGCATTTCGTATGCTTCAAAAAATTTTGCTAAGCTATTTATTAACACATGTGATTTGACAATATGGATCCCCCAGGGTGATTGTAATATGGACCAGGGTTCCATATTATATACAAGGGTTCCATATTAAAAACAAAATTTAAGGATGTGTTAAGTTTCAGGTGAAAATTCTTTACATAAAAGTTATTAACAATATTATTATCTACAATTTTTATTTTATACAAAATTTTCCTAAAATTATCCGTATTCGAGAAATTTTACAAAATATAAAAATTTTTTTTATAAAAATTGTTCAAATAAAAGTTGTTTGTAATATAATTCTCTATAATTTTTATATTATACATAATTTTTCTAAAATGAACCGTATTCGATATATTTGAGAAAATGTGTAAATTACGAATTTTGAAGAAAACTCAAAAACGGCCTGAGGTGAAATGATTAAATTTTGGACAAAGTCGGAACATCTGCGGGATACCTTATAGGAAGTCGTTTTAATATGTTATGGACTATATCTGTTATTTATGTTTGGAGAAGAAAATTGTTTAAATAAAAGTTACTTCTAATATTATCTATAATTTTTTCTTTATGCCAAATTTTCCTTAAATGGTCTGTATTCAAGAAATTTGACAAAATGTGCAAAATTCTGATTTTTAAGAAAATTGTTAAACTAAAAGTTGTTTGCGATATTGATCTCTATAATTTTTGTTTTTTAGATGATTTTTCTAAATTGGACCGTAATAAAAAAATTGGAGGAAAAGTGCTAAATTTAAATTTTTCAGTATTTTCGTTTTCAATGAATATCTATAGAAATTTGTTTCGAGTTAAATGTATGTGGAAAATGAATATATTTAGTTTATCCTCTAAATATTTATAGAGGTGCTGCAATAGGTTGTACAAAATAACCAGAAAGAACCTATAATAACTAGATAGGAAAGTCATGTGTTGGACTTCAATTTTTTATTATACAAATAATTAATTTCAATGAAGGAAGTTTTAATCACAGTTGTTTATATGTAATTTTATTTATTTATTTATATTATTTTATTTACAATAAAAACTGAAAAACGGTAAATAAAATTTCATATAAGTAATTTAATATTGTTAGCTTTATAAGCTTTTTGGATAACCTGATAAATATTCAAAAATAATCCCAAAATATTAAGATAAGTCAGCAGACTGTAACTAATAATATTCACTTTTTAACATAACAAAATACCAATTATCCCTATCTTCTTCTATGTAAATCATGTTTGTTTGTCTAAATGTCGCCATTTTTAAACGGCCAGGGTCACGTATTCCTTTTTTTTTCTGTTGAGGGGAAACCGCTTGGCACCAAACACTGGGTCAATGTGTTTGGTAGCACTGCCTCTTCGTGGTCTACTAGGGACTGCCTTTTGGCATTGCTTCTGTTATTATGTCTATCTCCTCTCCCTCTGTCGGACATCGGCTTCTTTCTTGCTTAGTACTACCGCTGCGAAGTGGATTATATCAATCCAGTTGTTTTGGTTTACTAACATTTTGTTGACTATATTTTCCGGATTTATATTCCCAATCTTGATTTCTAGCATCGTCCTTTCACTGCTCCATCTTTGGCATTCAAAAATTGAGTGCTCTACTGTGTCTATTTCCCTGCAGTAATGACATTCATTGTTCTCTGTGACGTGGAACCTATATCGGTATGCCTGAAAACACCCGTGTCCGGAGATTAGCTGTGTAAGGTAGTATGAGACCTCGCCATGATTTCTTGTAGCCCATGGTTCAATATTGGGAATTAGCCTTTTCGTCCAATGACTTTTATAAGTTTCTGGTTGCCATTTCTGAATTGTGTAGTCAATAGCCACTGTTTTATCCACAGCGCAACTTTCTTCCACTACTACATGGATAGGGGGTGTTCTGGTGATGATCAATAATGCATCTGTTGAGGTTGTTCGGTATGCGCAGGCAATTCTAAATGCTACTTTTCTTTGAACTTTTAGGAGAGTGTTCCTATATATGTGCTTTTCCATGGCTCGTTTCCATATCGTTGCTCCATAAAGTATTATGGACATAGCTACGCTGCACAAAATTCTGTGGTTTTTTTCTCGTGGTCCTCCAGTGTTTGCTAGAATTTTGCTAATATTTGCTACGGCCCTTTCCGCTTTTTTAACCACATTTTTGACATGTTGTCCCATTCTCATGTTATGGTCAATGTATTCTCCAAGATATTTGACTTCTTTTTGGCTCGTTACTGTTACATCTTGCACCCTAACATTGATTTCCTTGACGGTACGTCCTCCTGCTAAGATAACCATCTAAGTTTTTTGTGAGGCTAGGGCTAGTTTTTTTGCTGTCAACCATTATGTTATATTTTCTAGGATCTCATTTGTCGTTGTTTGCAATTTTTCCGTGTCTTTCCCCGTCACTACTATTCTTACATCGTCCGCGTAGCCTACTAGCTTTACCTCGCGTGGTATTGGGAGTTTTAGGATGTCATTGTAGTACATATTCCATAACATTGGTCCTATAATAGAGCCTTGTGGTGCTCCGCACGTCACCCTTCTCATTTTTTCTTCTGTCCCTAGATAGCTGGTCACTAGGTTATACGTTTGTGGGGTTAAACATCCGTTTCTTAGTTCCTCTAGAATTTCATCCCACAGTGTAGAATTAAAGGCATTTTTTACATATATTGTAATGAGGGCACACCTTTTTCTGCCTGCTCTCTCATTTGCCTCGTCTGCTTTTTGGAGAAGATGCTCCATCAATTTTGCAAATATATTAAGGAGACAGGCATATATGTCCTGTTTATTTGTTCTCTTTTATGTTTTTTCAGAAGTACCAGTTTTGCTACTTTCAGCCAATATCTTTTAAAAATCTCTAGAATGTATCCTGTGTAGTTTTTATCTACCGCCTTCACTACCTCTGCAGGTATGCCATCAGGATCAGAGGCTTTCTTCTCCTTTAACTTATTACTGGCGTCTAGCAGTTCGTCCTTTGTGAAGGAGGGTATGTCTTGTTCCCTTACTGGCATTCTTTCCCAATTTCTGGTCAGGTGCGTCGGGAATAACTCCTGTGCCACTATTATTTGTTGTACATCATCTAAGGTTATCGAAGCGTGTCCTTTGTATTTGTCCATGACAATTTTATACCCTTTACCCCATACATTCAGATCCACTTCTTGCACCAGTTTCTTCCATTCATTCTTTTTAGATTCCGCGATAGCTTTCTTAAGAATGGTCCCATTTTCCCGGTATCTTTCCATACACTCTTGCTTTATGTTTGGATTGTTATTTTTGTTTGCACTTTTGGCTGGTAAGCATATTTTCCTTTTCTCTGCTACCTGTTCTGTCCATCAGTAGACGGGCTTCTTATTTCGGCCAATTTTTTTCTTTTGCATTATTTTATTGCATGCCGCCGTGATTATTTTGGTAAGCAGTTCCTTGTCTAGGCCTTTATTGGGACTTAATTTTAATCCTGCATCCACTTCTTGGACCAGGTCGCCAAGTTTACTTTTAGTAATTTTCCAGCCTCTGCTTATTTTGAAGATATTTGGATGCATTATATCTTTCTCTAATATTTCAAATGTAATGTGTTGGTGATGGCTGTGTCTCTACTTCTGGGACCCTCCAATTAACCACACTTTTACTTTTACTGGGGTATTTTTCGCTAAAGGTCATATTAATGTAGGATGTGCTGTTTCCCCTTATGAATGTCGGCTTTTGCTTTCTTGAATATGCACGATCAGATCTGACAGTACTTGGCCTCTGTGATCCTCTACGTTAGAGTCCCATAAGTAGGATTTGGAATTGAAGTCACCTCCAACAACTATTTGTTTGGTCTTCCTTTTCATGACGTCTCGTAGTGGCTCTAGGAAGTTTGTGTATACATATTTCTAGGTTGACATTTTGTGAGATGTAGCATTCGTAAATTATGACTTCCTTTATTTCTACCAATGTGAATCCATCTCCAGTTCCCTTATCCGCTATTTTTAGTTGAGGATCTCTTATTGCAACGTCTACTTTATTGTCTACATGTAGTTTTCCCTGAGTAGTTTTTTTCTTGTTTTGTT